ATTATAACTTTTCGAACAATATACATTTATCCTCTCTCAAATTTCACATTCTTTCTTGTTCAAATCATGAATCGATCAATGTTGAATTATCATTAGAAACCTTGAAGCACTGAATGGCCGTTTCGTCTTAGTATGCGATTCATCCACGACTCAGCCTGCGTAGATCGAGCCTAAGACCTTAGGTTTTGTACGCAGACGCTTATCCTCTGGACCAGTGCACTCGAATCTAACGGCGTTAATGTATAACTTCGACCCCTTCTTGTATCAACTTGATCATTCATGCGTAAAACAGTTTGTACTCAGTAGGAAATCACATCATATTACTGTCATTATTACATGATAAGAAATTGAGTATGTGTATCGTGCAAAAGAAAAACACCACAAAACGCATTACCTGGTACCCAATAAGAAATATTTGAAGAACATATATTTAATCCTAGAATAGGATGTTGAGCTACAATACCACCAATAATATCTGTATTCGATATAATCAAATTACTGCATTGCTCTTGATATGATTCAGTTGTTAAAGCCCCCTGTAAATATACATATACATATACTCATTAGGAAAAATAACTTTCTTGAAGGGCTTAGGAAGATCAATGGATTATAGTACACAGATGTTATGAATTACACATTTCTAACCAAATTAACAATAACAAAAGGTAATGGTAAGTAGTAGTAGTAGTTGTAGTTCTTTAGTCCAACCGTAGCTGCTACCTTGACGTGGTGGTCGGGCTTGCCTATTGTGATGACCCAACCGGGCTATATTTTCTGGAACCTATGTTCCTGAAGGTCCTACCATGCCAGGTAGGTCAATTCGTGAACGATGAGACTAAAATCAGCTACTCAAAGTCTGAGGGCGAAATCATAATGCTGAGTGAAGAGGGGTGTGTACTGTGCAATAGTTTGCTTCGTCCTACTTTATGGCTGTGAAACATGGCCAGTCAGAGTACAAGATATTTATAGGTTACTGGTTTTCGATCATAGGTGTCTTCGGAGCACTGCTCATAAATCCTGGGACAACCGAGTGAGCAATGCTGTCGTTAGGAAACGAGTACTAGTTAAGGATGGCAGATCAATAGATGAAGTAGTTGTCGGGATATGTGTTACGAATATTCAACCACCGACTGCCTCGTCAAGCTATATTTTGTGGTGTAGGAATAGGTTTGAAGAAAACTAGGGGCGCCCAGATCAATACATACAAACATACATACATACATGCATACATGCAAGAAGACACTGATAAGTGGTCTGACTCATGTCTGTAGGTGTCAACTACCTGGTTGGGGTTCGCCAGATGATAATAATCGATGGTTAGAGACCTTGAATGACATGGCTCGAAACCGTTTGCAATGGCGCATATGCATTCATTCTTTGTGTTCTCTCAAATCCCAATCTTCAGGCTTCTTCAACACATCTAGTTTTGACTTTTTAAACTTATCTCACTGAATCAAACTTCTTGAATAATATCTTCTAATCCTAACCTCTCCGATTACTGTTGATACCTTTATCACCTCTACTCCTATGGGATTTGATTACATCTACGTGCCATCATGGTATGGCAACATGAACTGATGTACGTACGTACATACGTACGAAGTTCTACGTTGTGGAGTATTGATTGATTGATTGATTGAGCCTCGCATGATGAATTCGAACTATCCCTTACGCGTGCCTCTGAGCTCCACAACCAAAACAACCAGCTCAGAGAACGAAACACCACCACAAGTAGTCTTTCTTTACAAGGACTTTAGAATCTCGTGTCATCGATATATGCGGGAGTAACTATGACTCTCTGAAGGTAGCCAAATGTCTCGTCATCTAATTGAATGGGTATATTAGGTGACGGGCATAAGTGGAGCCCTCACGGGTTCATAGTGGCTGCTACCCCTTCGTGGTCCTGCCAGGCAACGTGGCGTTGTTTACAGCGCTGCGGCTAAAAGCCGTTCCGAACGCTTAGGATACCGTGCCTAGCATGGTCTAGAATAATGGTACGTGTTCATGGTCGTGAGGCTGTGGATGTGGTAAGCCACACTGTGTGATTAGGACTGAATGTTTCTAAGTCTGAATCCCGTCCATCGAACGTAGGTAAATTCCGAATAATGATTTGAGGAGTTGTCCTCTATCATTCCGAAGTAACAGAAACCTGGAAAGGGATTTAACTTTCCAGATTTGTTTGGGAAGCAACCGCAAAGATCCTGGACTATAGACGCCGACCCTATGTGGTTGTCTCTTACACTCTGCACCTGATGAGTGTGTGTAGGAACTGGCGTTGAGGCTCCCTAAACAAGGGTCTCCATGTGGGTTATGTGATCCGGTTCTAAAGGGTACTGGACGCCAATGATGTCTGCCCACTTCTGTGGGATTAACCCAGCTTGGCCGAGTGCTTGCATTTGGTTAAGTCGATGACATCTTCCCCATTGCAGTGTGTACGTTCCAGTTCACCTTGTGGGACAAACTCGATCTTTAGCCTCATTTCGAATTTGGGGGCCTCGATCGATTGTATCAGCGCAAGGCAGTTGGAGGCTAGATGGTTGGAATGGCTGTTGGTTAGTACACTGCTGGGTGGCTCGGTAATCCGTCTCGGGGTGACAGGTCCAGTTAGGTAAACCCGCTTTTTCGCCTTTGCCGATTGGGGTTTGTGGGTAGCGGATTGGTTTAAGGGATATCTTGATTCATAAGTGCCCGAAAAGAGGCCACTGTTCTTGTGCGTGCTTTCTGGATGTCCGACTTGCATGCAGACCAAAATCGACAACATCTATGTTCCCGATTGGGGCAGGGATGGTCACTAAACGGCTACAGTGAGAATCCTTGCGTTGCCCTTAAAAGCAGCCATGTGCATGTGCAGCAGGCTTGTCGGTTAAACAAGACTAGAATCTTGTGTCATCGATCTATGCTGCGTCTGAGAGACACGCGTAAGGGATCGTTTGAATTAACCATACGAGGCTCAATCAATCAATCAATACGCTGTAGTGTGCCCGATGGCTGCGTGTTCTTAAGCTCGGTTTATAAATCAGAAGATGAACTCCAAGTATCGTATACGTTTATTTGAGGTACACCACATAGCGAATTGGAGAAGGCTAAGAGCCAACTCCTTGGATTACAATGCAAGCGAATGAGCGGAGCGAATTGGAGAAGGCTAGTGAGCCAACTCAAAGAGATAGGACATGACTAAGAATATATAGTCAGATAAAAATAAGACGGACATATGACAAGCGAAATAGGTATGCACACACATGAATAAAAGCGACGAATGATTGACAAGGTCAAATGACAAGCGATACAAATCATGTGAGTTCATGGGAATATTACGAGATTAACATTAAAGCGAAAAGGATGAGTAAGCACGTAAGCGTAAGCAATGCTCAGTCGTACAAGCTCATACAAAGCAGATAATAAAAAATGACAATGGTACATATGAGTTGTTGCTATACAAATGGCTTGGTTAGATAAATTAATCGAAAGGGCTTAACCTAGTTAGATGTAAGAGTACTGGAATATATGTGGAGGCACTACAATAGCCCCCTTTCAGCAAACAAGGATACGAAAGTGTCTGTGTTTGCGAAAAAAAAATCAAAATAGTCGGAAAACATAAAAATTTACGAAAATTAGAGTTACCCGGTAACGTTCGTAAGTTCGCATAGTAACAGAAGATCAAAAGATATGTGGTAAGCGGTTATTAGCAAAAATAATCGATTTCGAATAGAATACATTAGGAGCAGTTGTACGATACGAAAATCTAATACAAATGCTGCAAAATATTTAATATCGTTTAGGCATGACAGTTTGGACGGAATTCGATAATCGCTTAGACATTACGGTAAGGCTCATCGATAAATCGAGTGGCTGCAGATAGGTGAAGAAATTGCGATCGAGATTATCGTGTAGAAAATTTGGAGAATAAAGCTGCGTACAGATGCGATGCATGGAAATCAAATGCATATAGAGAACATAAGTTATTACCATTGAGTATATGACTCCAAAATTATGTGTATGATAGCGTTGCAAACCGTTGCCAGCGTTAGGGTAGTCGAAAACATGCGAATATCATCGTGCATGAGGTTCGCTCGACTGCTTGAACTGCTGTTTCGTGTGCATGTGCGTAAGATCATACCACCAATTTACTTAGCAGGCTGCAAGATGTTCGAGTACGAGCAGCTGATGAGTACATCGAAAATATCTCCAATGCGATAATCGTATAGCCACGGAAATATTAATGGACAATAATTGTCGTTGAGCCATTGCTTTAATAAGCGATTCGAAACATGATAATGCGATATGGCAAAATAAATGGAATGAACTCACCTTAATCATGAACGTCGTTCGTGTTATCGAAAGAAGTAAAATAATTCCGTGAGTTGCAAATGTCGTGCCGTGAATACAATATTCGTAATGAGATTGGATTAGCGATTAAGATAATTCCAATATTGTCATAATATCATGATTAATCATAAAAAATGGTTCTCTCACATTAATACGATAATGATAGCGATATTTCGAGAAATAGATTAATGCGACGAGTTGGTGCGTAATCAAAATGACGATAAGATAATGCTTGATTCGTTCAGCTAATGCATTAAGTATGAGAACTGCTTTGTCGCTGCATGGCGTCGGGATTTCCAGTTAGTGGTTCTGTTCGATTTGTCCTCGAAATTACCAACTGGTTGGTTATATTCGATTTGTCATCGGAATCGTCGAATTATGTAGTGAGAGTTTACTGATCTTCTGTGAAGACGTATGGACGAATGAATCGAGCGAAGCAAATAGGGAGTGATATGAATGAACGACGGGCTCAACATTTTGTATGGTGGCCGATTTCCCTGACGTCGGGATAACCATTTTGTAGTGCACTGGCGAGCGAATGCACGGAAGAATGGTTGCGTTCGATTCTACGTCGAAATTACCAGTTAATTGTAAGCGTTCGATTTTTTGTCAGCATCAGGAAACATCCTGAGAACGGCGGGATCACCATTATGTAGTGTGCCCGATGGCTGCGTGTTCTTATAGTTCGGTTTATAAATCAGAAGATGAACTCCAAGTATCGTATACGTTTATTTGAGGCACACCACATAGCGAATTGGAGAAGGCTAAGAGCCAACTCTTTGGATTACAATGCAAGCGAATGAGCGGAGCGAATTGGAGAAGGCTAGTGAGCCAACTCAAAGAGATAGAGCATGACTAAGAATATGTAGTCAGACAGGAATAAGACAAGTGAAATAGGTATGCACACACATGAATAAAAGCGACGAATGATTGACAAGGTCAAATGACAAGCGATACAAATCATGTGAGTTCATGGGAATATTACGAGATTAACATTAAAGCGAAAAGGATGAGTAAGCACGTAGGCGTAATCAATGCTCAGTCGTACAAGCTCATACAAAGCAGATAATAAAAAAATGACAATGGTACATATGAGTTGTTGCTATACAAATGGCTTGGTTAAATAAATTAATCGAAAGGGCTTAACCAAGTTAGATGTAAGAGTACTGGAATATATGTGGAGGCACTACAACTCCACAACTTAGAACTTCTTACGTATGTACGTGCGTACGTCAGTTCATGTTGCCATACCATGATGGCACGTAGATGTAATCAAATCCCATAGGAGTAGAGGTGATAAAGGTATCAACAGTAATCGGAGAGGTTAGGATTAGAAGATATTATTCAAGAAGTTTGATTCAGTGAGATAAGTTTAAAAAGTCAAAACTAGATGTGTTGAAGAAGCCTGAAGATTAGGATTTGAGAGAACACAAAGAATGAATGCATCTGCACCATTGCAAACGGTTTCGAGCCATGTCATTCAAGGTCTCTAACCATCGATTATTATCATCTGGCGAACCCCAACCAGGTAGTCGACACCTACAGACATGAGTCAGACCACTTAACAGTGTCTTCATGCATTTCCGCTATGTTTTGGTCTGTCTGCCACTTACCTTCGTCCAACCTATTCTTACACTACAAAGCAAAGCTCGTTGGTTAGGCATACGCAGCACATGTGCCGACCACCTCAACTGATGAAGTTTCATTACTTCATCTATTGATCTGCCATCCTTACCCAGTCCCCTTTTTTTAATAACAGCGTTGCTCACTTGGTTCTCTCAGAATATACGAGCAATGCTTCGAAGATACCTATGGTCGAAAACCAGTCATATACGAATATCTTCTACTCTCACTGGCCATGTTTCACAGCTATAGAATAGGACCAATTGAACTACTGCGCAGTACACTCGCCCTTTGGTTAGTAAGCGCATATCTCGCCTGCGCCGTAGGTGGCGTAGGTTTGCAAAAGCCAATAGAGCCTGTCTGGCATGGTAGAACCTTCAGTAACATATGTTTCAGCCAATATAACTCGGTTGAGTCATCACAATAGGCAAGCCCGACCACCATGTCAGGGTAGCAGTTACAGTCGGGTATTTTGACATTGACCACTAGTCGATTACATATTTTTAACTTCTAACAGAAAATGTTTTATCTTTTTTTAACAAAATATTAAGAATATTTTTTGTTGCAGAATAGAAAAATGATTCATTATTACCTTAGGTGCTGGTGAATTATGAATAAATAAAATAGTTTCATCAAATTGTTCTTTAGTAATACAATTTTCTTCATGTAAAATATTCAACAATTCAGTTAGCGTGAATAAACTACAATAGAAGAAAAATGCATACACATACATACAATGAATGCATATACACTGCGGAATAAGCTTTTACAATGAAAATGCATGCAAATGAGTAACATAAGCAGCCATTCAAACAAATATGCATGCAACACGGTCAACCTATTTGTACATAATAAATAGAACTTCTGATAAGTTTTAATGTCAGTCAGTCAGCTACCAATCAAGTTGTCATAACACATTAGCACAGAGATGTCATTTTCACTGTGATAAATAGTAACTTACTTTGTGACTAGTTGTTTCAGGAGAAAATTCTCAAAGTTCTAGTGAGAAGCAGTGACCAGTAGAGTTTAACCGTGATCGGTGTGCGACAGTAATCCATCAAACACGACGGGTGAGTTTGTGTAGAAGCCTTAGATTGATTAAAGTTAGGCAATAATACCTTTCGAAGACGGTTCAATGGTCTAGAACTATAATCAAGCAATGAATATGATGTTTCTACACTCAGCATAAAACAGAGCGAATGGAATTGTGATACATACTACTTGCAACGTGGTTTATAGGTAGTGTGAAAGGGGATGCCAGCCAGAAGTTGCTCCTTAAGACAAGGATATCAGATCGGTTCATTAGTTAAATGAAATTCAACAATCTCTACAACACCTTACTAACGACTCTAGGTTTGTTTACTTAGATTCAAGCTATAGTTTGTGTACCTCAGATATGAGCGTGGTTTATACTACTCACGACGTAGCTTATAAGTAGTAAGCAGTGAATAGTTAGGAAAGTGTCGCCCAGAAGTTAATGCTGAAAATAGGAATTGTCGAATCCGAAAAAAGAGTGCGATCGGAGTGGTTTCAAGACCAGATGCCTTGTAAGGGAAGACAGTTATTAATCCGCTTATTTTACAGATGAGTTATATTGATTTCTTATGTAACGTTATAAATCTCCACTTTATCGGCAGATAGTTTCGCTTTCCATAGTTGGTGAATCTGAAACTTGCGAGATTACTTGCTTACTTACTTACTCCTGTTACACGCAATGAATCATAGGCCACCGACCGGCATTCGCCAAACTACTCCATCCTGAAACTTCCTTCTCAGTTCTACCAGATTGCAACACATTCTCCTCATATCTATTTTTAATTCTCGCAGCGGTGTGTTCCTTCACCTAGCTCTTTGCCTTTGATCTTGAGGTGTACTTGCTGAGTTGTCGACTCACCTATTCTTCCGTTCTCGCCTGTTTCCAATTCTTCCAACTCACACTACTCTGAATGCACCCCTACCAGTACACAACGTACTTCCTTCTGGCTAAACTCAAACAGTTACATTAATGTTTACAACCTGTATTTAACTTATAAAATGCAAAACAAAATCTCAGCTGATTATTTGAATACCTGAATAAAAGATATGAACTAAACACATTCATCAACATGGATTGATGAGCACATTTAGCAATTCAATGCCTTAAAAACCAACCACATGATAAGCACTAATCAACCTACTACATGCAATAATATAGTTGGTGCTTTTGACTGACATAAATAACAGTTTACAGTTTGCACTAAAAAATGCGCACTTGCATTTTCATAGTTAAATACATATATATCTCATCGGTTTCACCTGGTAATTTTAATATTTTGATCTTGTAAATAACTAGGTCCTCCTTGTTCACGATCTATCATGACAAATGCATGTTCAATGCATAAACCAGACTGTCGAAGAAGCTGTAAATTGTAAAATGAATGAAATGATCAGTTGTATATTTACCATGATAATCGAACAGAATATTAACAAACAAAAACGCAACAAGCCAATTCGAGCGCTTCATTTAACATTTTCTACTTTGATTATTGTGAAGCGGTCTGTGTGCATGTTATGCTCTGATCACTGTATAAACGCCAACGTAAATTGTCATTCTACAAGCTTTAAACGATTATTAGTTGAAAGAGTTCGATAACACGATCGACTATTTTTGTTTATATTTTCAATGATTGTTTCGACCAATATATCTACATTTTGATTAATAAAGTCAAGTGTGACAACAACCCTCGATTTTTAGTAACCATTGTCAGGACGAACAATAGACGAGGTGTAGGAATACATAGACTATCTGCCGCTACAAAACCGGTGAACTGAACTAACGAACACAACTCCGGTTTTCAGAGATTTGAATGAAATACGAAAATCCACTTACTCTGTTCACATTTGAATTATTTCTGTGGATTATTATTATTATCATTAGTAGTAGTAGTATCGGAACTTCATTACTTGTGAATTATTTTTTTTAACATTATTGAACACGTATTTAATTATTATTTACAAATCCATACTAAGGCGAAACAGCCGTCCAGTGGTTCCAGGTTTCTAATGGTGGTCTAACATTGACCGATTCATGGTTTCAAAATATGTGTAACTCAACAATCTTCACAACCCTGTATTGCAAATTTACGTGTTTAAATAAGTAACAATAAACAAATAACGATACAGATCATCAGTTAATTAGAATTATCCTCCCACCTGAACCACAGAAGAAATACTACTACCAGAAGTGATAACATCTTCAATGATGACACAATTTTGTCCATGCTTCCATACACCTTCAATCATTTGTTTAGTACCATAAGATTTTGCTTCTTTTCGACACATCACCAGTGGAATATTTTTACGAACAGAAATACACTTTGCAAAAAGTTCGGAAGCGAAAAAAAATAAAAGAACAAACATGACAAATTGATATGAAAAACAAAACATAATTTCTGTCGTATTCCATTGAAGTAATCAAGACTTGCCCTCCAATTGGTCCTCGTTAAAGGATTTTAATTGTACTCATTCAAATTGCGGAGACTCAATTGAGTCCCTCATCCGTATTTTTCGTCACTAACTCCCCGAGCCGGAAGTGTGTTATTTTCGCGCCTGCTGCGTCCATGGATGTGATAGCCATTTCTCAGGCTCCCTCTCAGGAATCGAACCCTGATTCCCTGTACCAACGCGGATCGTCAGTTCGCATCGTTTATGGTCACAACTACGACGGTATCGGATCGTCTTCGATACTCTGACTTTCGCTCCTGATCAATGGAAACATTCTTGACAAATGCTTTCGCCGTAGTTTGTCTGGCGGCGATCCCGAAATTTCACCTCTAACACTGACATAGCAATGCCCCCGTCTGTCCCTTTTAACCATTACTTCGGATCCGAAAACCAACCAAATTCAACCCAGGTCCTATTTCATTATTCCATGCAGGAATTTTCAGGTGCACGGGCCTGCTTTGAGCATTCGAATTTGTTCAAAGTAAAGATGCCGTCCGCTCCTGACACCCGGTTAAAGGCATCCAGAAGCACATCAAATGGACAACAAGAGAAGCTCATCATCCCATCAATACTTGTAATCACAGACACGGCTAAAGGCTGCACAGTTACTACACCGAGCCGAACACAGGTCCTGATCGTAACCGAAAACGCGATCAAGCAACGGCATGAATCATATCAGTCACCTAATTCACACTTATGACTTGCTTCGATGGTATAGGCGTATTTATAAATACTACATTGGATCGACAAAATGAAATAGAACGTCGTACGTACGTAGATTTAGTTCACAACTAGTACATACCAAATTAGTATAGAGAGATGGAATTATCGGTTCGAATTGCTTAGTATTAGGGCTGGTAGATATATTAGTGATGTAGTCAACAAAATGACGGATCAAAGAGATATGACTTGATAAGTATATCCGATTGTAATTAATTCAAAAACTTTGAAAAAAATGTCGAAGGGAATTCCGAAGATTAGAATTTGAAAGAGAAGACAGTGGATGGCATCTGATTTATTCGAAGCAATTTAGGACCATACATGTCTTCCTTAGTCTCTAAACCATCTTTTACTATCGTGAAGTCTGTAATCTTTCATTTTATCGGTTGCATTGCTCCATTAGAGCAACTCATTGAACACTAGACACATGTGTTTCCTGCTGGTATGAAACACCTCTTGTACGTGTGCGTCTATGACTTTATCATGATTCGAAACCAGAAATCTTTATTTCGCTACTTCACCTTCAATTGTGACTTATATTGATGAGTAGACTCACGTGGTCAGATTATTGATGAAAAGTTATTGAAATTATAGTCAGTCACTCAGTCAGCTACAACTTAGAACTTTGTACGTATGTACATCAATTAAACTTGTCTGCCAAATTAGTACAGGAAGATGGGATTGCCTTTTAAATGTTATGATAGTACAGGGAGTAGAGGTATGAAGTGAGATAGT